TCAGGAGTCCTGGATGCCAGATCAGGAACTACAGGGTTTTGTGTTTATCCTGCTGAGTTTTGATCTTGCTTTGGTCCAATTCCTTCTATGTTCTGACTTCCTTTTGTAAAAGAAATGCTTATCTGTGCCACTGAAACTTAGAACTGTGTAATTCGTTTTTTATTTTTATTTACTTATTTTTATTTTAAAGAGAATAAAACCAAGCAAAATAAAGTAGAATAAAGCCAATCAAAACAAACCAGTGTAAGTGACACAGGACTTCAAAATAATGCAATCAACAGTGGTTACCATAATGCTTCTTCTTGTCTTCAGAATAGCTGCAGATACCTTCAGACATAGTAAAAATCAAATAAAACAGAACAACATAGGACCAATTAAAAACAAAACAATGAATGCAATAAAAGACTTCAAAACAAGATAATGGTAAATCCAAAATGACTACTAGAATATGTCTTGCTATCTTTGAAATAGCTGCCCATGCCATGGGATATAATAAAATCCAACACAACAAAACAGAATAAAGCCCAACCCAACAAAACAATGAAAATGATACAGGACTTCAAAACAAGATAATAGGGAATCAACAATGGCTATCACCTTCAGGAGATTCCCCATAGCTGTTGCATTGTGTACTGTTATCCTCTCAGTAGTTGTACAGACTACTGGCTTTAGACCTGCAAAGTCGTTGAAACACTAAACACGACAAGCATTAAATTGTATTTTACCTCAAAAGCTATCATTGAAGCCTGTGTTTCCCTGGACCAGCTGGTCACTTACAGCAGGAATTTGGAAGGGTTGGCTCTTCTTGTTTCCCAGCCCCTGTGCTGGAAGGGGCTGGCCTCTGGCTCTCCCCCACAGTGGCTCATGCATGGCGCCAATTTGCAGGGAGAGCTTGCCTCTTGGTCACTTCTTGTTCTCGTCCCTCGCAGTCAGCGAATGGCACTGATCCACAGGAAAAGGCTGGCATCTGACTGTTCCCCCAGCAGCCCACACATGACGCCAATTCACGGGGAAGGCTTGCTTCTTGGTTACTTCTTGTTCTCTTCCCTCACAGTTCATGAATGGCATGTGTTTTCATTTTTATAGAAGTTCACAACCAAGAGTTTGTGTTAAGTCTCAGAAGATATGTGGAGTTCTCAAAAATTCTGGAACTCTTTTTTTTTTTTTTTTTTTTTTTTGGTACTGGGGATCAAACTCATGACCTCACACCTGCCAGGGAAGTGCTTATAGCACTGAGCTAAAGCCCCAGCCCCAAAATTCTGGAACTCTTGAAACTCTCAGGAAGGGATTGCTCCATTTCCAGTTGTAAGTGGGATAGTTGTGTTGTGTTAGAAGGAATCACGAACTGGCTACTGGCTTAATCTGAAGTGTGGTTTAAGGAGATGTGTTTGATTGTGAGTTGACATGTGGTGGACTGTGACAGTTAAGCCTGATTTGTCAATTTTATTGGTTTAAGAAACACCTGGTAGATTCCTGAAGCTGTTGCCAAGTGTGTTTGGGTGGGTCACAGCAGTGTGACTTTGGTAGGGCCTGACGCCCCTAGCCTGTTCCTCTTTAGCACTGTGCTCCCGCACTGGCCAGCATGGGTCAGCTGTGCCTTTCCACCAGAGCACTCCTGCCGTGGAGCTCACAGGCCACAGCCCCAGGAGCCACGTGGATCTCTCCTCCTCTAAACTGTGACTATTGGGCAGTTTGTCCCAACAATGGAAAATCAAACTAATACACCACAAAACGGTGTCAAACAAGTTATTCCTAGGCACTGAAAACCTCTGAGGGGGAGGAAGAACAGAGGACTACACGTTTAAACCTAGGAATAACTGTGTGTTTTGTGTTTTGTTTGGAATACCTTCCAGCTTTGTAGTGGTTTGTGAGCCCTGGGATTTCAGAAGGTGTTTGGGAATTGATTGGAGACACTGGTTTTATAACCAAGTAATAAACCGATGACATGTAAATGTGCATATTATAAGTTCACTTCAAAAGGAAAGGGCCTTGGGCCTCCTTCCACGTGACTACGGAGTAAGCGTGGGGTTGGAGCCATTCGGTGGCACTGGCCACCTCCTCTCAGTTGACCTGTATCTTACTTGAGCCTCACTAGCATGCAAGGTGGGTTCAGCCATTTGACACGTTTCCATTACTTTTATTCTCTTCTGTATATTGTTTCCATTATATGTTTTATATTGATTGTTTAGAGACAGAAAGCAAAAAAGAACAAGAATAGTGAGATACAAGTTAAGGAACTTTAAAATGACAATAATTCTAAAAATCTCTCTCAAGACACTCTTTACCAGAGTCATAAATTACATTTATCTGATCAAACTTCTTGTAGCACATATCAAAATGTCTTTGCACAGCAAAAATTAGTAACAAGAAAAATTGTGGCTATTGTATCCTGTTGACTTTTTTTAACAATAAACACAAACTGATGGACACCCTGGTTTTTGAGGGAGAGAAGCAATTCTGCTGGTAAAGCTCAGTGTGTCATCTTTCCTTCACAAAGTTATAGGAATAATCCAGTTGTTAAGTTCAAAACAAGTGATGGGTCACAAAAAGAGTTTTTGTCTAAGTTGACGTAAGTAAATATAGTTCAGTTTCAATTTTCCTTTTAATATATATTCTGTCCCCAAACCAAACACGGATAAGAATTATTTCATTGGGCATGACACATAGCTATAATTCCAACACTCTTGTAGGCTGAGGCAGAAGAACTGCAAGTTTGAACACAGCCTGAGCAATGTAGCAATATCTTGTTTCAAACAAAATTCAAAAGGGTTCAGGTTGTAGCTCAGAGGAAAGGCCCTGGGTTCAATCCCCAGTACCACAAAAAGAAAAATGATCGCCTTTAAACTTAATCATGAAAAAATCTGTTTTTCCTACAAATGAATGAAAATAAAATAAAAATATGTCTATAGATGAAAAAAGTAAAAATGGTTCCTATGTTCTAAACGTACACAAATAATATTAAAGACCAATCTTTAATAATGTGATCATTTATAATCAAACATTTTACTTAAATTTTCTTCCTCATTTTGCCACAAGGATGTCAAAATAATTCAGGGAGTGCAAAATTATGTGTTATGGTAAAATGGGCTTGGAGTTTTAAAAAAATTAAGACATATTGGGCCATAGAGATAATCATTTTCTTTCAGAATCTTTTTTAACATTTTATTTTTTTATTTTAAAGAGATTGAAAGAAAATAAGATAATAAAAATGATACAGGATTTCAAAACAACTTGATAGGAAATTGAGATAATTGTACTACTAATTCCCATAGTCCATGGAAAGAAACTGGTTGCTTATAATGTTTGAACTGTTTTGTATGCCTGTGTCTTGTAATCTGAGCAATTGTTTTGAAGATAACAATATACAGTACAGTGACTATTGTTAATTTTCTGTCAGCTTATTCAGAACTATTTTAAACGCAAAAATTTTTATAAAAATGTGTGTGTTATAGTGAACTAAATCTTACTCCTTCCTGTCCCTTAGGAAATATTCACAGTTTGACGATGTGGCAAAGGAAATTCCATTTCGCCCCATTTAATCTCTTTGAGGGTACTCATTTTCTGTTAGATTGCATATTACAATCTGAGTCCTGAGCTCGAACTCCACCCTGCTGCACTGTGGCTGGGGGCAGGTGGCACAAGTGTGGGCATCAACAAGACAGAGACGAGATTTGGAAGAAAACCCAGCAAAAAGAGAGGCGCTCTCTCTACCCGCCGCCACCCATCCTCAGGAGCCACACAGTTGTAGAGAAGAAATGAGTCACACACTTCGACCAACGTGCTTTAAGCAGAAGCGAAAAGCTCGCTAACCTTGCGATTCCAAAGCCACTTTAGAAGGGCAGCACCAGCGACTCTAGTTCACTTATGGTTTATTTTAAGAAATGCTGCATCATCAGCTTCTTAACTTAGATGGTGATACCACGAGTAAACACACACACCAAAGAGTTTGGACCAAATGCTGAATGTGAAAGAGGTTTAGGAATACCTAAGTGAATTTATTCTGTTTAATGCTCCATTTTTATTTTTGCATGTATAAGTATGTGATATGTAGTAATCTATGTCTATTTGATTTATAACAGCACTTCCAGTATGTATAAGATAAAAATTCTCATCATGTCATAGTTTAAACTGCAGAATTTGGGGAGGGAATTGACTTTTTACAGGGGGATTAAATCCAGGGAGCACTGAACTACTCCCCAGCCTTTTACACTTTTTAAATTTTGAGGCAGGGATTTACTGAGTTGACAAGACTTTTGTCAAGACTGTGATCAAAATTATGATTCTCCTGCCTCGGCCTCATGAGTAGCTGGGATTACAAGTGTGTGCCACATACCTGTGCTCTTGTGTATGTGTATTTTAAAGGGTGGCAATCTTTGTTAATTTTTCTTTAATATTTTTTGATTGACACAATAATCATTATACTTATGGAGTAACTTACAGGGTCTTTAATTTTTCCTTAGTTGTACCTACAGTAATGATACCTCTTCTAATGACAGCATTTTAGATTCAGTGTACAGAGCTTTGCAATTAAGAGCTAGTAGTTTCCTATGTTCTCTATAAAATGAAGAGCTAATAAACCACTCACATTTAAGACATTTGAGAACTATATAACGTTTATAACTACTGCTGGTTTTATTTCACTTTAACAAACAGCGACAAGCTATTACTTTTATTTCACAAACTATTTTTTATAAGACGTTTTTGTGGTGCTGGGGCTTGAACTCATGGAGTGCTGAGCTATATTCCCACCCTTGTTATTTATTTATTTTTTTGAGACAGTCTCACTAAGTTGTCCAGGTGGGCTTCAAATTGCAATCCTCTTGCCTCGGTCTCCTGAGGAGCTAGAATTACAACCACTGTACCTGGCTTTCCAAGACTTTTAGTAGCATGTCACCCCTTTATGAAAGTCCCCACGATGTTTCTTGGCAGGAGGTTTCCAGTGGCTTGGGTTTTTTTTTGCATGTACCATTTCCTTGACACTATCTTGTTTCCTCTGCTAGGGGTGCAGGCTGCATCTTTATTGAAATGTTCCAGGGTCAGCCTTTATTTCCTGGGGTTTCCAACATCCTTGAACAGCTGGAGAGGATCTGGGAGGTAAGAGGAAAAAAGTCTTCTTCAGAAAAAAAGAAATACCTACTTGTCAAACTTGGAACCGAATTTGCCTTAGACCCACGTGAAACAGACGGTCTGCTTCAAGACATGGCACTGTAGCTGAAACCTAGAGAAACTGTTTTTTGCCTCGGGGATGGTAGGGTGGGAGTGACCGCAGTCCCATCGCAGCCCACAAGGCCGCTGATCTGACCGGGGTCTCCTGCTTCCTGTAATCATCACTCTTTCAGCTTCTGGAGGCAGTTTTTGCATACTGTTTAGGCCATCCTGCTTTATCAGCCCATCCCTAACCCTATCCTATATTTGGCTCTGGATTTTCATCAACTGAATGAGACACCCAATTTTCTTGGACCCCCTGATTAAACAGAGACTTCCTGTTAATTTGAGAGAAGTATCCTATTCATCATGCCACTCACAGCCAAACGCCTGCCTGATGGCATGTATGTGTAATTCTGTTTCTTTCATTATTATCCGGCTCTACTTCTTTTTCCTAGGAGGTACTTGTTTTTATGTCCGTTATGTAGTGCTGTGACAATCAGATTGCGGTCATCTGTATGTTTGCTTTTCGTGGTGACTTTAATATTGTGTAAAATAAACGTCACATAAAGTTTTCCAGGTTGGTCGGTGGTGACTGCCTCATCCATGGGATGAATCAGTTCTGGTGTCCCGCTGCACTCTGGAGTGACTGTTGATGACTGCAGTGTTGTGTGTATTTCTAAAGGGCTAAGAGAAAGGGCTAGGAGAAGTTTTCATCACCAACAAAACAAAAAATATCAGATGTTTAAGGAGCTATGCTTGCCCTGACGTTAACAATATACAATGTATACATGTATTGATACACCATATAGTACCCAAAGATATGTACTTTTAATGTGGCTATTAAAATTAAATGAGATAATTGTGTGTGTGTGTGTGTGTGTGTGTGTGTGTGTGTGTGTAACTGAGGATTGAGACCAAACTACTAACCCAACACTTTTAAAAAGCTCCTTTTATTTCGAGACAGGATCTTGCAAATTTGCCCAAGCTGGTATCAAAGGTGAGATCCTTCTGCCTCAGGCTCAGGGGTTCTGAGATTACAAGCACTCACCCTTGCTCCTTGCTCATTGTAACCATTCTTAAATCCGCTGCCTTAAATCCGTTAACACTGCTGTGCCACCGCCATCACCATGCCCTACAGGGAGCTCTGCAACTGTTGAGTGAGACCCTCTCTACCCTCCTTCCGCTCAGCCTCCTGGCCTCTAACCTACTCCCATCTCCACAGAGGGGCCTGTCCTAGGGCGCTCACAGCAGTGGAGTTGGAAGCATTTGGCTTTCTGTAGCTGGCTTGTTTAAGTCAGCATAATAGTTTTGAGATTCATTCAGTGGTAGAGTATGTCATGCTTTTATCATTTGTTTTTCTGAATCTTGTTTCTTGGCTCCTGCCTAAGAAAAAAAGTACTTTGCGAAATGAAGACATTGCGTAGAGATTAATCACTGGCAGTGAATGTTCTTTTGGAAACATGGGGTGTTATGAAGAAACATGGAAAAAACTGAGAAGCATTCATGGATTAAAACATTTCTTCAACTTTTCCTAGGACTATTTATAGCAAGACAGACGAATGATACCTTTCAACAAAGCATTACGCTGTGACATCTTCTAAGCTGGGAGCAGCTTAATGTAACGACTCTGCAGTCAGAGCCCTGAGTTGAAACGCTAGCCACTTCCTAACTGTGTGTTTGGGCAAGTTATGTAGCAAATCTGAGCTTTGGTTTCTTATCAGTGACTTTCAAACCTTGCTGTGAGAATTTCACAAGCCCAAATGTCCACCAAGCACGACGCACCTGAAGTGCTCCATAAATATTTGGTTTCTTCCCTTTTCATATAAGTTGTTAAAAGGATGTTTCAATAACTCAATTGCCAAGAAGCATTAGCTGACATTTAACCTGACCGTTCTCTTCTTCCATTTAGTGGAACTTCTTCTTGTCCATAGTAGAGGAAGTGTAACTAGCATCCCCTAGACCTCACACTACAGTGGCTCTTTACAGATTTAAAAAAGGTTCCAGTTTTATTTAATACTTATCAGACATCCACCATATATAAGTACTTTCAAAGGCTTATAAGAACCAGGAAGTAGCCAGGTGTGGTGGTGCATGCCTTTAACCTAAGCACTCAGGAGGCCGAGGCAGGAGGATCACCACAGGTTTGAGGCCAGCCTGGGGCTTCATAGTGAGTTCAAGATCAACCTAAATTACATAGGAAGACCCTGTCACAAAAAAGAAGAAGAAGGAGGAGGAGGAGGAAGAAGAAGAGGAGAAGGAAAAGGAGGAGAAGAAGAGAAGAAAAAGATGAAAAAGAAGAAGAGGAAGAAGAAAAAGAAGAAAGAAGGAAAGAAAAAGAAAGAAAAGAACACACAAGTCATGAAAAAAGAAAGTTAAAAAAATGCAGGATCTGTGTTTTTAAGTGTTGTTTAGTCCTGGTGGGCTGACATATAAATATATGGAACAAACACAGACTGTAGATATGTGTTGAAAGACACTTGCATAAATAGCTAATGTAAACTGTAACACCAAAATAAGATGTGCTGTTAGTATATTTGGGAAGCAGTATATTTGAGAAGAATGTATGTGTTGCTTGTGTTTGAAGAGTTGTGTATAACTGATTTTTTAAATCTTGCATACTATTTCAATGACCACACATTTGGAAAGAATTTCTTTTTTACAATTCTTTGCATCCAGCATAGCACTTAGAAATCACAGGACAGAAAGAATGTACCAGATGCTCCCTGGACCTCATGGCCCTCTAGGTATCAGTGCAGCTTTGAGAGCTGATCTGGTGAGTAGTGCTGGCCACCTGAAGGCTATGTTAGGTAATTCAGTGATGAAAGACGTCAGACATGAATCTGTCTAAAGTACCAAAACTGGATGATACAGCAAAAGCAAACATGTTTTAACACATTAGTCCAACAGGTTTTGCCCAGGAAGCCACGTTCATGTTTACCACCATCTTTATCAGATGCTGTAAATCAAAAGGACTTGATTTTGACATTTATGGCAAGTTATTACAAATTAGAACAACTAAATGTATTAGAAGGAATACTGGCCCAGAGGCAGGACTGATGAGTTCTGAAGACAGTTCTCACTTTAGGTGTGAGGTACAGCAAGTGTGAATCCAGCCTTCCTGGGTCACAGCATCCTCAACTGTATTTGATTCCCTGGCTCTGAGAAGCTGTGATTTCTATAAGTAAAGTTTAAGAAGAACACAGGTGCTCCAATCGGCTGTGACAGTGGCATTTTCTTTGTTCGTTATGTCTTCCCCCTCGGTTGTTTCTCAAGTTTGTACAGTTGCCTAGTGCATGTTAACTTTCAGCCTGTGCTTCAGAGATAGTGCTACGGTGATTGGCTGGGTGTTATGAGCACCAGGAGTTCAGGTTCCTTAACTCTTAAATTTTCTCACGGTTCTATCCAAGCAGCTGTTACTGTATCTGTAGTTCCACACTCTGAGGAAAAAAACAAGAAAATCACCACACTCCACGGCCTTGCTGTTTTCTATACTACTACATCTCAAGTAAGATAGAATTTATTTTTCCTAGTACAGTGACTGGCCCAATGATAGGTGCTGAATAATAATAATAATAATTGTATTGCACTTTGGTCTCCATATGTAAAATATAATAGTAACTGATACATATTACAAAATTCAGGCCATGCAGGAAGTCTTCAGAGGTTACATAAGGAAAGAACAGCCAAGAAGAGTCTATTTAACTGTGTATTCAAGATTTTTGTTTTTACAGGTGAGGAAATAATGTCCCAGAGTAGTTTCAACATACCCAAGGTCACAGATGAAGTTACAGGAAAAATTCCACAGAAAGAAAAGCCTAGTGGGACGTGGAACAAAGCCACTAATGTTACATTGGATGACATCACGATGTCCGTGCAAAGCTTACCCTTGGGGCCGTGTTCCACTTCTGAGTATCAGTGCTTCTGAGCTTTGGGTCTGAACTGGTTTCTTCCTTTTGTAATTGACAAATTAAACTTGCATGCCTTCATCACGCATGTGAGTTATTTGTACAGCACAAGATAGGACCCAGGGCTTTGCACACACTAGCCAAAGGCTGCCCCACCGAGCTGCACCATGGCTCCCTGGTGATGCACCCAGGCACACACTGCACGATGGCCATGTCACTCCTCACACCTACCATTCTCGGTGATGAAGACACTTAAAACCTCAATGACTTTCAGAAACTCAATACTTTATTATTAGCTGGTGTCATCATGTTGTCCTATGGATCTCTCAGGCTTATTCCTCTGATCTAATTGAAATTTTTATCCTTCAAGCAATAACTCCTCACCTTCCACCCTGCAGTTCTAAGTAACCAACGTTCTGTCTTCAATTTCTGTAAGTTCAGCTTCTTTAGATTCCATCTATAAGGGAGGTCATAAGGCATTTTTCCTTCTCTCCCTGGCCTGTGTCACTGAACATATCTTACAAGCTTTATCCCACGGTTGCCACAGGATAACAGGATTTCCTTCCATTTTAAGACTGAATAATACTCTATTGTCTTCATGTACATTTCTTTATCCATTCGTTGATGGACACTCAGTTTCATATCTTGGTTATTATCAATAATGCTACAATAAACATGAGAGTATAAATGTCTTTTCTACATGTTAATTTCATTTTCTTTGGATACACACCCAGGACTGGGATTATTGGATCATACAGTAATTCCATTTTCTAATTTGTTGTAGAACTTTCATACTAAACTTCACAGTGGCATACTAATTAATGTTTCCACCAACAGAATGCAAAGGAGACCTTTTTTCCATATTCCACCATCTTTTTTTTTAATAGAAGCCATTCCAACAATCTTGAAATGGTATTTCTATGTTCTGTGGTCCTAACCAGCATTTCTTTAATGGTTAATGGTGTTGAATATTTTTTATCTGTTGACCATTTGTGTGTCTTTTTTGGAGAAATGTTTAAGATTATCCATTTTTGTAATCAGATTGTTTAGGTTTTTAATCAGATTATTGAGTCTTTTGAGTCTTTTATATACTTTAGATATTAACCCCTTATTATATGTGTGGTTTGAAAATATTCTTTCATTTCATAGCTCATTTCTTTATTTCCTTTTTAATTTTTTAGCTTTGTTTTGTTTTTAGATTTGTGCCATCTCATTTGTCTCTTTTCATATTGTTGCCTGTTCGGTAAGTCAGAAAATCAAACAGATTACAGATAGTTCCTGAATTTGTGTTTTACTAAACATGGTTTGCATAAATAAAATAGGACAGCTATTTGAAGTTCTGTGGCATTTGATATGAGAATCCTTGAGATCAATGGGCCTATTCTAAATTCCCCAACCTATAGCTACATTTTTCTCTAGTTACCCTGAGATCTCATTTTTAGGAACAAAAACAAAATGAGAAGTCTTAAGTCTTCATTTTACCGTTTTTCTGGTCTGTAGAAGTGTATGCACATACACATTTATGTGTTTGTGCCTAAATAAAACTCTCAACAGTTCCTAACCAGTTTTTTGAAACCTAATTCTTTCAATAAGTGTTTTTGCAAATAATCCTGGATTTGGTTCTAAAGTTGGAATAAACTATGGAGATTTTAAAGTCCATTAATCAAAATGCCTTTCGTTTCCATTCCAACAAAGGCAGGTCAGCAGCCCCTCCAGCCACTGAGGACCGAAACATGGAACTCACTGGCCACCTTGTTCGAGCCTCCAGGAGGGTAAACAGCAATTCTTTGTTTTCAGTTTCCCAGAAGGCGAAGGGAAGAGTTAGTCATTTTCTCGAGTGAAAAAGAATCCTACAATTTTCAAATAGAAACTATCAAATTTCTAAATAAAACTATGTTAGGTTTTTGTCTAAACCTCTAAAATCCGACTTTAAAACTTTTGACATAAAATTTTTCAAAAAGTTTGGTATCTCTTTTGCTGCCATTAGCTAGACATCAAACAGAATTATCACAAGTCTGTTGATGTTCACCTTAAAGAAAATATGGATGTGGTTATTATTTCCTGCATTGTTTTCTCTTCATTATCTTTGCTTTCTTTTCCTTATGTTTGGCCAGTCAACAAAAGATGAATGGGTACCCATGAATCACACCCACTTGTTTACACATGCATCTGTGCAAATACAGAAGATGCTAGGCTGAGAAAGAAGAATTAGCTTCTGTCCTCTGGCTCTCATTCACAAAAGAAGAATTAGTCCAGTTGGTTTTTCAAAATGCATTCCAGGACTCTTAGTCTTCCCTCAGGCTCAGAGTGGCTGATAGAAAACCCTATAATCCTCTCAGTTGCTTTTTAGTTTGCTTAGAAAATGGATCAAAGCAGGAGATTTTACTGGGTGGCATGATTTTTTAAATATATATTATAAAAGGGAAAAGAACACTTCAGTGTTTTTTTGTTTGAGGACAAGTTTAACAGGCCCCCTAACGTCATCCAGAGACTAGTCAGCACATTGATGAATTTGGGATTCTGCACTCTTCCCTGACTACGTGTGGTCATTGCTGGACAGGTAATATCCTGCTGTGAAAATTGGGTCGGCATCTGTGTTTATCATGTTGCAGGCAGATCCACTGATCCTTTCCATGGGAGAGGTCTCTCAGGAGTTATACTGAGATGAGCTTCTAAGAGTTACACTATGGTGGTGCAAAAAAAGCTACAGTATTTCATAAAAATAGTGTTATTCAAACTCCCAGATATAACTGGGTGTGGGCTTTTACTATTGTCTTTAAAAGATGGTAAGGTGTTGCCTATAGGGGAACAGACAATGACTCCTCCAGGCAAACAGTCTACCAAAAGACTTACTTCACACAACATCTTAATTAAAAATTAGGGCTTCGATTTATTCATCTAAAGTATACCAGTTCTTTTGCAAATGATGTTACCATTATACTCCACCAGTGAAAAACCAAATACCACATTCTAAGCTGCTGAACGCAAAGAAAACAATACGCAGTGGATGTGGTAGAAGGATGAGGTTAAGCACAGGCGTGTTGGCCCGTGCTCCACTGTCTGGAAGTCAGTAATCTGAGCCCTTTTAATTCGAGCACATCTGGGGACAGCTGAACACCCAGGCCCCAGCGCAATTTAAGCTTTCAAGTCTCCTCTCAATCTGCTGATGGTAATGTGATGTAAAGCAAAGGGATGGTTACTTCTGTTTCTTTATATCCCTGATTGCCAACATGACATCCTCGCGCAGAGCAATCATGCAATAAATATTTGTGCATGAGAATGAATTTAACAGAGGCTGTATCATCCACATCAGAATAACAAGTGTATTGATAAAGACAGGTTTAGAACCATAGGGATACACCAGAGTTTGTCCAATAGACTAAAAATACATAATGTGACATAATCAAATTTCTTCCACATTCCTCTCTGCTCTGTTCCACCAACCTAGTCTGCCACCTAACCTTTGTCTTTCTCTGGTTTTACGTAGGTGTTAGGAGTCCCTACTGAGGATACCTGGCCTGGAGTTTCCAAGCTACCTAACTACAACCCAGGTAATACCGACTCATGCTTCTGAACACTCTGAGAATTAGCAATGTCAGGAAAGCATTACCACTCAGAGAGTGCATCTTGTATTGTGATCTGAACAGTCGAGATGGATTTCTAGACTCCTCTATTTCCTGACTAATCCTTTTATGAGAAAGACATTGAAATAATAGTTAAGGTTAGTTCTCCAACTCCAAATAGTAAGATGAAAAATAATTTGAAATGCCTGTTGCTGTGAATTCCATTCAATTGCAAATACACAATAGCTCAAAAAAACTAAAGACTAAAAAGGTGGTCTTTTTTTGTGCATCATGAGGATCAATGTTTGCTAGAATATTGAGCCTCATAAAGTATAGAGAGAAAGCTAAAGCATCACCAAGAAGTTAGAGGTTTGCAAGCCCTGCAACAAGCCAGCTAAGTTGTCTTTAGATTGCCCCTGTCAAGAATTCACACATTGACTCTAGACTGGGCACTTTTTCATATCTGTCACGTAGTTCGTCTTCCCAAACTGCCTGGTGGGGATAGATTTGGAAGTGTTAGCAATGTTGTTCATGGGTGAAGCCTTTGAAAAGTAATCTGAAGGCCTTACCAACAGTCAAATTACCTAACAGTCGCCTCAAGGACATTGCAACAGAGGGAGGTGACACGTAATGAGCCCGAGGCTAAAGAACCATGTCAGAAGCCAGAGAAGCAAGTAAGGAAGGTGTCAAGCCAAGTCACTCCTGCCAGGAGGAAGAGGCAGGTATGGACAGCTAAGGACAAGGGCAGGATGAATGAGCTCTTGGTCAGATTTTCCAGTCTTTGTATCTTTACATCATCCCAGTACTAAACTCCAAATCTTTCCAAACTGTTGCCACTGCAGTATTTAGCATGATATCATCCTGCAAGGATTCCATGAAAACAAGAAATTGTAAGATGAAAAATATAGTTAAAGAAAAAAAAATGAAAGACATAGCCTGAGGAGGCCCCTCTTTTAGTTCAGGATGTCATACTTTTACTCAAACAGCCAGACATAGGGATCCATCATCTTAAACTGACCAGATTTATAGAAACCCCAAAAGAGAGCTGCACCCTAAATGACCGTCTTCGTTGTTAACCTGCCTTAGATTCATTTACAGGTGTTTATAATTTCTGTTTTGCTAGATTTCAGTACCTAATACAAATGCCACTCTGGCCATAGGACTTAGAAGTGCATTTTTCCCTTTCCTGTGAGATCTGACAAAAAAGTAAAAGCTTCTTGTGGAGCCCACAGTCTAGTCTGTAGGAGCTCCTGCTCAAGTTACCAAGGCTTCCTGCCTGTTCTTCTGTGCATTCTTTTCTCCATTATGGTGAAAATGGGGCCCCTTTCCTCCCCTAGGCTTCCTGCCATGGATATAAGTGAGTTTAGAGTCACAGAAAACATTTTGGGTGATGTCAGTGCAAAGTTGTCACGGTGAGCCATGACATTCCTTCCCCCAAACTTCACACATTTCGGTTTCAGGTTGGTGTAGGTAATAAATGTGGATCCTTAATACAAAATGTCTCGATGAGAACAGTGATGGTAGAAATGTGGCCATAATGCTTCCCTGCCAGGTTCTGCACTAAATAAAATAACTAGACTCTAATAAAGCAGAGAGAAATATGTTACATTTTCACTTTGTTGTCATGTCAAAGTAAGGTGCAATTATTTACTTATGAAGAAAAATTCTCCAGGCTTTATCAGTCGGGCTCATACTTTGCATAGTTTTTCTAGTAAAGGCTCAATGTAATTCAGATGAGTCAAAAAACTTTAAGCACCTACTGACTGCTGGTCACTATGCATGGTGCTGATACTACACAGATGGATATGGCGCTTCTTGGATCTCCAGAGCTTGGTCTAACTCACTGGTCGCTCTCCTTCACTGGTTCTGCTTGACCGTGGTGCTCCTTTGGAGGCTAGCTCCCATGGAATTGGGCGGCTTGCGGCTCTGGGCCGGGTTGAGCTTGTGAAAGGAAAGGAGTGGTAGCTTTGGCTCAGCCAAGAGGTCTAAACAGGCCTTGTCAGCCTTAGGACTCCAGCGTGTCCTGGGCATCGGCTCAGTACTATTAATGACCCCATCAGGAGGTCTACGGTTTAAAGAGCCATCAAGATCTGTCCAGGAACATCCCCTTATGAACCCGTAAGTCCCTCTGAAGTCCCCACCCAACCGCCCCCATTCCTGAGCTGCTGCTGTGGCTTCCACATGCTTGAATTCCAAGAATCTAAGGGGAACTGAAGAGGAGGTGGGAGCCAGAAACGTGTAGCCACAGATAAGAACTGTGTTAACACCATTCAGAGCAAGATTTCCGCTGCTTTCTTTTCATTCCAGATAGTGGTGGAAGCCCTTCAGCATTGAAGTCAGATAGTTCAATTTTTTGAATGTAGTTTTTATTTTTAATTAACACATAAAAATCACTTACATTTATGGGCTATAGTATGACATTTCAATACATGTATACAATGTGTAACCAGAGTAATTAGCATGCTGATTGCCTCAAACATTTTTGTTCCTTTGTGGTGGAACATTAAAATCCTCTTGGCTATTCTAAAATACTCAGTGGAATGTTGCCGCCCCTGGTTATTGTGCTGCACTGTAGGACATCAGAACTTCGTCTCCCTGTGCACCCATTAACCACTCTCGCCCAGTCCTCCGCCATGCCATTCCCAGGCTCTGTGAGGACTACTCTATTCTCTGCTTCCATGAGATCAATGCTTTAGGCTCCACGTATAAGTGAAATCTTGTAAGCTTGCCTCTTGTCTTTTTTGTACCTCACTCATTTCACCTAACACATCACCCTCCAGTTTCCTCCAGGTCGCTGCACATGACAGGATCTCATTCTTCTTCCTAACTGGTGTTCCACAGTGTACAGTACCTTGTCTTTACCCATTCGTCTGTCAGTGGACACTTCAGGGATTCCACGTCTTGCTGCTGTGAATAGTACAACAATAAACATGCGGGTGCAGATGCCTTTGACACAGTGATTTCAGTTCCTTTGGCTGTGTACCCAGCTGTAAGATGACGGGATCATGGGGTAATTCTATTTCTACTTTTTTTGAGAAACTTCCATACTTTTTTCCATAATGGCTATACTAATTTACACACAACAATTCTCATCATTGGTGTGTGAGAGTTCTCCTTTCCCTGCAGCCTATCTAGGATTTGTGGGGTTTTGCTTTTCTTTGTCCTAACCATTCTAACTGGAGTGAGGGTGTATCTCACTGTGGCTTTGATTTGCATTTTCCTCATGTTCAGGGATGTAGAGTACATTTCATGTGCTTGTTGTCTGTGTCTTCTTCTGAGAAGTGTCCTCTCTTTCAAGAGTTTGTTCCTTCCTTAATAATTAGATGATTTTTTGTGTGTGTGTTTTGTGCCATTGAGTTTTGAGTCCCTCATGTATTCTTCAGCCAGTACAATTTGGGAAGTGCTCAGGCGCTCTAAACTTGGGAGATCCATCCAGGGTTCATCCATATGTGCGCTACCATTTCTGTGCCTGGTCTAGGTTCTGTCTAGGACAAGATAGTTTCTGTTCAGTTTATATGCAGGTTTGTACAACTCGCCCAGGGCTGACTCAGCTGTAAGTTTTCCCTGCCACTCTCTCAGGCTCTCGTGGGGTGATAGCTGATCCAGCCAGCAGTACAGACTTGTGCCTGATCGAGTCTGGCAAGGTGAGCGAGGGGTATCAATTTAAAAACTGGCTCCTTCACTCTTCTTGTCTTCCTTCCTTCTTCCCTTTCACCCTCTCTCCCCACTTAAAGCAAGCTGACTGAGAACTCTATGTCCCCCACTTCAAAGGGCCAGTTGTCTTATTTTGATGTGGGCAGATTGAGAAGTAGGCTTTGAAAAGTAGGTCTTTTTTTGTTTAATCTTTTCTCCTGGGATAGCTTTCAGAGCAATATATCCACGTGTCAGTGAGGGGGTTCTGACGAGACCAGACTCTCAGCAGGATCATTCTCGAACAGAAATATAAAAGTGAAATATTAAAAACCCTGGAACGTGAACTCCATCTGCAGAGTAGCCAGTGTCTTGCCTGCTTGCACCATGGGAAAAAAAGATCTTGAAAAAAACAGAGAGGAAAAAAGTGCTTTGAGTACAAGGTTTACAGATTTAGTAGAGCATTGTAACATCCCCTCAAAGAAGTGGGTGTTGTTCTGTGACCCCCCAAAATACTCCTCCTTTGACTCAGCAGCCAGAACACTCCCCCTCTCCCTGCAACACACCCCTTTTTCACAGGCTAACCGAGGTGCCCTGATTGGTGAACAATAAACTGGTCACACTTGCTAAATGACTACCATCTTTCACACAATTCGCCAAGACCCATTAATCAAACTGGCGGGAACTGGAGCTCTGCTGGCCTCTGCCGTGGAGGAGGGGAGAGAGTTTGGTGATCCTTCACAAGCCTCTGTCCACAGGAAGCAACAACAAAGACAGGCATGCTGGGGGAGTCCTCCTTCAGCGAGTCTGGAAGGTTATAGCCCCGCTTGGTGCCCTCTCAGATGTACTGGGTTTGTGGCTCAGAAGATCACAGAAGCTTAGAACAAACCAGATGCTCACTTGGGCTAAAAGCTGCAAACACAGACTAAAGTGTGAATTTAAACTGTGGGTCTCTCTAGACATTTTTACAAAGTTTCTGCAGGAGTCCCTGTCCTCTCACTCTCCAGCAGTTCGGGATCATCTGAACAGATGATGTGCAAAACCATATTGTGTGGGTTCACTCCTGGGACAAACAGTATACAGCCAACACAAGATGCAGAGAACTGGTCAGCACCAGTAAAAACAAACTGGCAATGTGTTGGTCTAAGCATTCGAAGAACGTAAAAAATAGTTCATTGTCAGAGGGAAAAAGATTAAACAACTGTGCTTTTAACCATAGTATTTCCTGATTTTTCTTTTCCAAATACCCTTTAAATAGATTTTCCGATGGCAATCTCGAGCTGATAAGATTTTACCTTGAGACCAATTAGCTATGGAACTGCATAGGGCTTTCGGAGGATCGGCTAAATATTTAGACA